TTTCTTTTCTTTTCTTTTCTTTTCTTTTCTTTTCTTTTCTTTTCTTTTCTTTTCTTTTCTTTTCTTTTCTTCAGAAGCAGTATTATAGATGATGGTGCAAATCTGAGACTAGCCTGTGAGAAGCCTTGTTAACTCTGGATACTTGAAGTACGGATGCCACTCACCACTTTTAAACATTCAGGAAAGTTGTGTTTCCAAGACCAAAAACTGGGGCTTTGAACACAGCTCTCCTTATGTTCGAATCTGTAACTTTTGCTTTCATCCAGTTTCTGGTAATATTGGGCCAGATGTTACCTCAGCATCACTTTGGGGGGATGAGGATGACAGGAAGTGATGTGGTAAGGTAAGGGACACAGGAAGGATGGGAAAGGCTGCATGGGGAGGAGGGAGGCTGGGCAGGGGAGAAGAAGGATGCTTGGTGATGCTCAGTGCTGGGTGCATGGTGATGCCCAGTGCTCAGTACTTGATGATGTTCAGTGCTCGGTACTTGGTGACTGGACCTGGAGGAAGCCGTGCCAGCTGGGGATCCATTCATGCTTTCACCTCTTTCAGCCTTCTTCCCCTCTTGACTTTCTATTTATGGCCTTCCACTTCCTGTTGATGTAAGAGCCAGGGACATCGCTCTGCTCAAGGCCACTCTTCGTCCTCAGTGGGCACGGGATTAGATGGGCTGTCTGCTCCCCCCCCCCCCCCACCCAGCCATTACATGCACCAGGGTCTTTCTCCTCACCAGGCTCCCTGCAGATTGCAGCCTGGTCCTTAGCCTTTCCCTCTGTAGCAACAGTGGGTAATAAGAAGGAAACACACGCTGGTTGAAATGGTAAGAATTTAGCTTTTATCCTCTCATCTCTATTATCTTCCTGCTTGATTTGGGCTTGGGATGAAAGTCACCCATGTAGGCCTTGTCACTGGAGAGTTTTCTGAACTTTCTGATGGCATCTAAACTTTCTTTGGTTCCACTGGCTCCCAGCATAGCTCCGTGGGACTTCCAATCTTATTTGATAAAAAGCAAAACAAACACAACCTTTGTCTCCTGTCTATCTCAGACTGACAAGTTCTTGAAAGTCTTCAGCCCATTTCTTCATTTTTCTACCTTTAAATCCAGGGAGGCTTTTGTATATATATATATAGTGTCATATACTTTGAGGGAGAGGGTGAAGTCTGTATTTCTTAAATAGTGGTTCCTATGGACAAGTTAAAAAACAATTGGAAGACTGACATGTGTTTGTCAACCTTTCATTTTTCCAAGTAAGCCTACTGAAGAGAAGAAAGAGAGAACTCAACAACCAGCCATCTACTGCCA